ATGCAAGGATTCTGAAGCTTCATCTGACGTATTTTGGACATGTTGCTAGTCGGGATCAGTCCTTGGAGAGGGATGTCATGCTTGGGAGGGTGGAGGGACAGTGGAGGAGAGGAAGATGCTCGATGAGATGGATTGATTCAGTAATTGGGGTAATGGGGGTAGGAGTGTCAAAGACAATAAGATTGGCACAGGATTGTACAAAAGGTCACTATTAGTCACAGGTGACTTTACAGCACATAACAAAACAACAACTATGTCATATCAATACCCATTACCACTGAGTCTATTTCAATTTATAGTAACCTGCTAGGAAAGAGTAGATCTGCCTCATAGGTTTTCTAAGTCTATAAATCTTTATGTAAACCTAACATAACTATTTCAGTGAGCAAGAGTAAAAGAGCACCTTGTATTCACTACACATATTATCAGAATTTTAGATGTAGACTGCCGTGCCTTTCTACTCTCTGCCATTGATAGGCAGTAGATTTCATCTGCTGGCCCCTCAGCAGCAGAGATCCTTTACTTATGTAATAGGACTCTTAGGTGAAACAATAGGTACAAAGCAAGGCCTCTTCTGACATCCATTTTTGTATTGTCTTTCTCTCTTGTCTTTGTAATAAAAGTTTCTTTTCTTCAAGGATGATATTTCTGATGTCATCTTATCTGGTCTTCAATCATTAGTGCTCAAAGCTTCAAACCTATTTCTAAAATGATTTTTAAGTTCAGGTGGAATATGTTCAAGATCATATTTTGGTGTTTGTGGACTAATTTTCATTTTCCTCATCTTCAATTTGAACTTGCACATGAGTGATTTATGGTCTTTTTCCATAGTCTAGCTAGGTTTTGATTGCTGATATTGAGTTTCTCCAGCAATTAATTCTTTCCACATGTGTAGTCAATCTCATTCCTATGCAGTTCATCAAGTGAGGTCCATGTGTATGTATATACCGGGTTTTTTACAAGTTATTTTCAACTAATAAATCATGGATGATAAAAAATTAAATCCTATCTCCAGACTAATTTTGTCAACAAGTGTATAATTTCTGACTTCTAGACCTTCTTTTTTGTCTCACCACTGGACCAATTGGCAGCATCAGGATGGATGGTGAAGAGATTGAGATTGTACACAGCTTTAGTTTGCTTGGCTTTACAGTCAACACTCTTGGCACCAGCAGCCAAGAAATTAAAAGGCACATTGCCATGGGGAAACCTGCTGTTAGGGACCTCTCCAAAGTACTGAAGAGCAATGGTGTGTCTCTGGAAACTAAGGTGCGTTTGATACAGGCCATGGTCTTTGCAATCACTTGTTATGCATCAGAGAGTTGGACAATGACCAAGGAGGATAGAAGGAGAATTGATGCCTTTGATCTGTGGTG